CTAGTTTCATATAGAGGCCTCTTTCCTTTTAATTGTATCCTGGTATCTGGTGAGGCTACCAAGGATGAATGCTGTCTAGGACTAGTTAGGTATGGCCTTTTGTTATGGGTGCTGGTTATTCGGTCCCTCTGCACCTCTTTGTAATGTTGTTTCTTATCAATTGGAAGCCCTTTCAGTCATTTGTAACATATCCTGCACCTAGGACATATCCTCTACATTAGAATAGCTTTGAGAGAGTCATCATCCAACATCTTTTCACCAGAGTCTTTTTTTAGGCCTGCAAAGCTTTGTTTATCAGCTAGTGAACTTCTTGGGTTCTTCTTAAAGTAGCCTGGCGAGCCACATGTATTTGCACAGTAATTTCCTCTAATTCTTTTAAGGATAGGTTTTGAAAATCTGGCATGCCAACATTGGTTGCACCTTCCCTAATCTCTGGAAACGGGTTGGTGTCAATTCCCATAGCTTTCTTAGACTTCACCGGAAACTTTAGCCTCCGCTTTCGAATCTGTTCTTGGATCCTGTCTCAAAAAACAATACAGTTTTTAGTTGAATGAGACCAAGAATTGTGCCATTTACAATATAGTTTTCCTTTAAGTTTTTCAAGGGTAGGAATCTTGACTCCCTTTGGTAACTTTAGAAAATTTGCTGCAAGCAAATGATTAAAAATGTCATTTGCTTTTGTTAAGTCAAAGAATACTTCCTATGCAGGTCTTTCTTTTTAAACTGGTGGTCTATTGTACTGTCTTTCTGAATTAATTCCTCACAAGTCATTGGTTCTTTTTCTACTATCTCTGCTGCATCAATTTCATATTTAAGGTCCCTATAATAGGTCTTATATGATGCATTATTTTGATCTTGTTCTTCCTCGAGTTAAGTTTCACATCTAGACACCTTATATGTTAACTCTACTAAGTTTCGAAACTCAGTTGAGTCAAACTTCTTTCGAAGCTTAAACTCCAAACCATTTTGAGCCGATCTTATAAATTTAGGCTCTGGTAACATGACCCTACATTCGTTTCGTGCCCTTTTAAATCTGGTAATAAACTGAGCAGCCTTTTCATTAGGCCTTTGGCTCAATCTTGCCAAGTTTGCCATGGAAACTTCAGGTTCTGTTTGAAAAAATTAGGCATGAAAAACTTCTTCCATTTGCTGCCAAGTTTGGATAGAGCCAGGTGTAAAGTTTATGTACCTTATAAAGTCTGCTTCAGTTAAAGAATTTGAAAAAAGTCTCAGTTTGATGTAATTATTATTAGCAAACTCACCACACTTGCTTATGAATCTAGCAATGTGTTCCATTGTTGACTGATTTCCATTCCATAAAAGAGGGCAAAGTCTAGTATTCTAAACCCCCTAGGATATTCATGTGCCCTATCCACTTACTCTGGGCAAGATTTTCTGTATATTGATGTCTGGACCCCCCGAGCCATAAGTCCACACATTTCTCTAACTATATCAGCAATTTGGTCCCTTGAAACCATATTTTGTGCTAGTTGAACCATTACTGGTGGGACAAACACAGGGTTTGGAGGAACACCATGTGCTTAAGGGCCTCTTGGTCCGTATATAGGTACATTCAAGACTGGTTGCCCTTGTTGTACTGGTTGTCGTTGGAGGTATAGGCTTTCCTCTTGGATTTGAATTTAAATTGTAAGTAACCTTTAAGACACTTCATCTCGTGCCTTTCAACTGTTCCACTGCTACGCAGATCCACTACTACCAATATGAGTTGCCACGTGTCTGTCTTTGATGTTGGAACAATCTTCTGTGTAAATAAAATAACTAGAAATAAATTCAAACAAAATAAATAAATAACATACCGGATTTATTTCGTCGAACCAAATAAAATTACAAGACCAAGTCGAGTGTGTGACACTCTGTCCTTAAGACAGATTCGCCCCGCTATGGTACTTACGGTTGAGTGGCGTCTATCTCCCAAGATACAATGATCTTCACAAATTTATAGAAGTACTTCAAATAAATTTGTTCGGCGAACCAAACCTGTGATCTATACTCTCTGAATATTTTTTCTAAAATTAGAATGAAGAATAATGCAAAAGAAAAAAAAAACAGGACAACAATGAGATCAAATAAGACAGATTTTCGGATGTGAAAAACTTAGATCTTAACCTGCTAGAATAGCTGGTATATATATAGGCAGGAAAAGGTCCGAACAGGTACCAATATAAAGAAATGAAAAGGTGCCTTATTCAATTCAAATAAAGGTGACTCTTTGATCTCAAATTCAAATATTTGAAGAAGTGTTCCGTTAGAAAATAAATCTGTAGGTAATTTATTATTTAAACTATTTCAAATATATATATATATATTAAACTATTGAAATAATTAAATAAATAAATAAATAAAGAAATACAATCTTTAGGAAACCACTTAGGAATCAAAAATTTTGAATTTTAGAATTAATTTAAATTCTCACAATTACAAACTTTAGGAAACCACTCAAGAATCCAAAATTTGAATTTAGAATTAAATTAAATTCTCACAATAATTCTTATTGAAAAAATTTAAATGAATTTTATCTAAAAAATTAATATTAGATCCGAAAACGACGTTAACTTCCCATTCACTCATAAATGGTTTTGACGTTCCGTCTTCACCGTGTGACTTGCCACGAGGCAAGGAACACGTCACCTCTTCAGACTCACCCCAAAGACGTTTGGGACCCACTCAAATAGAGCTAAAAAAAATATGCCTATATAAAACCATTTTTCCAACATTTGATTGGAGACTTACCCTAAATCCCCACATTGCCCTTTTTGTGCCACGTATCGAGTTAGGATTGGCTTTTACAAAATATACAACCAACAAATATATTTGGTTCAATTATTACATATTATAATTGTTCACATAAGATTTATTCCAAAAAAAAATTCATAAATTAAAGTCTCAGATCAAGAGGATGCACCATATGAGCTCATTAGAATGGGAAGGCCAAATTGCAAAACCAAATATGTAAATAATAAATAAATAGGAAAAATAGATGGACAAAGACAATGAAGGGCAAGTCGCCAATTAGTTTGATTGATGTGCTGACAATAAAGCGACGCCATTCTGTGTAGCACTAAAATAATGACCAAGTCGTTATTGAGAAAGGTATCGGATGTGTTGGTTTGGTTTTGAGAGAGTAATTTTTTTAAAAAAAAATAGGTAGAGAGTTTAGAAATTTTTTTAATTTGTTTGATTGCATATTTTGAAAGTAATTTTTAAGTTTAGGAGTTTGGAATGATTTGATATTTTGTTATAATTGAGTAGATGTGTGTGAGAGAAAAAGTGATTGAGAATGAGAGATAAGAGAGAAAAAATGATTGATTGATGTGTAAAAGAGAGAAAGTGAATTTGAAATTTTTTTTGAGAAAAACCATAAACTAAACAAAATTTTGAATTTTTTTTTTAAAAAACAACTCGCCCAAAAGAAAACCAAACAAGAGAAACACAATTAAATGATAATACTTGAGAATATAATAGGGATCGGAGAGACACAACTAAAACATGAAACAATCTCCACCGAAAAAAAATAAATAATCATATAAGCACATAGTCCCTATTCTTGATTATAGAAGAAAATATACTAACTTGACCGTCAAAACGTTCTTCTGATCAAACATCATCAATCAGGTGATTTTTATGATTGTGTTATATTGCAAAAAAATAAAAACAATATATTTCTTTTATTTGGAAGCTCTAAAAAGTATATTAATGATGTGAAAAATTCAAAAAAAAAAAATTAAAACTAATCAAGGTCAAAATATCACATCACATGAGACACACACCAATTAAAACTATTAAAATCTTTAATTTAGAGTTCACAATTTTTTTAAAAAAAACTATACGGACTCGAACTTTTAACACATTTGACATTTTTAAGTACGTATTCAAGCTCACTAGTTGTTTGGTAACAAAATCATAATAGACAGTTTATTGAACCACTATTCTACTTGTTTCAAGCGTTAAGCGAATATTGAAAAATAATTGTATAAAATTAATTCATAAAAAATATATTATAATATAAAATATTTAATGCCATAACAAACTGAACCACGTCTACTACTAGTCAAAAGAAAACCAATGATTAGCTAACACAAATGCAGACTTAGGACTACCATGAAAGGGTAAATGATAACAATATGCTCTTTTTTTCAAAAAAAAAGGTAGCGTTGGCCATGACCTTGTCAAAATAGTATAATTTCGACAAAGACTACTAGGATTCTTTCGCCAGAAACAAACATAAATAGTTTCTGGGCTCCCTCGTCCAGCAAGTATTTAGCCCGATAATGGGCTTCCACTACAATCCCAGGCCCATCTCCTCCTCTGGTTGATGATTTAGGAGCGTTTTGAAGAATTGGTAAAAAATTAATTTTTTAATTTTTTTAATGATTTTTTTAGTAAAAATTTAGATTCTTTTGAATAAAAAAGTTGGTATTTTTAACTAAAAAAATTAAAAAATTAACTTTTTAATTTGTTGCCAAAATGCTCAAATTAATAAAAAATTAATTTTTTACTTTTTTTTTTAATTTATTTTATCTTTTTATGAATAAAAAATATTAAAGATAATGTACAAATCCGTTTGGGAAGTTGGTTCGTGGACTCTTTTTTTTTGAGTAAAATAGTCACAAAAAATAAAATAGATTTTTTAGTTTATTAAGACAAAATATTCCATTTAACTTATAATCATTACATTTTTTTTCTTACAAAAAAATCAAAAAAATTAAAAAAAGTCAAAAATCATTCCCAAACTAGACATTTTAATCTCAAATTAAAATAATTAAAAAAATCAAAAAATCAAAAATCAACCCACCGATGGGAGCTAAAATAAGAAAAATGTTAAAAACTATTTTTTATTTGCTTTCCAAAAAAATCCCTCACCGTCGTTCATCGTTGAAACTCCGGAGAGAGAAAAACCCAGACACAAGAGAGAGGAACTAAACACACAGAGAGAGATTCAGATATATATATAGGGAGGGAGAGAGAGAGAGAGAGAGAATATGGGTGTAGACTACTACAAGATTCTTCAGGTGGACCGAAGCGCCAAAGACGATGACTTGAAGAAAGCTTATCGAAAGCTCGCCATGAAATGGCACCCAGATAAAAACCCTAATAACAAGAAAGATTCCGAAGCCAAATTCAAGCAAATCTCCGAAGCCTACGATGTATACACATTCACATTTTCATCCATCTATCTAGCTATCTCTGATTTGCAAAACCCTAATTTCAAATCTCACTTCTTTTTTTCTTTTTTTTTTTAGGTTTTGAGTGATCCGCAAAAGCGAGCGGTCTATGATCAGTACGGCGAAGAAGCATTGAAGGGACAGGTGCCACCACCAGGTGCCTCCAGTGGATTTTACGGCGCCTCCGACAGTGGTGGTGGTGGGTCGACGACGTTCCGGTTCAATCCTCGTAGCGCCGATGATATATTCTCGGAGTTTTTCGGGTTTTCTACCCCCTTCGGAGGGATGGGAGACATGGGAGGCTCGCGAGCCAGCGCTTCTGGGTTTCCCAGGAGTATGTTTGCTGAGGATATATTTGCTTCTTTTCGGGACAGAGGCGGCGATGGGTCCAGTAATGCGCCTCGCAAGGCGGCTTCAATAGAGCGGACTTTGCCGTGTAGTATGGAGGATTTGTACAAGGGGACTACTAAGAAGATGAAGATTTCAAGAGATGTCATTGATTCTAGTGGGTAAGCTTAGAATTTAATATTTAGTGGTTCCAAAATTTAAATTGCTTGAATTGGTTCAATTGAGCTTGTTGTGGAAATGGATGTTTAGTTGATATATTGATGCATAATGGGTTGTTTTTAGCTGCATTATGTGATTTAATATGTCGCCGAAAATACCAGCTTTATGTATAATCTGTAGAACTTATTTGAGATTGGGTAAGCTTAGAATTTAATATTTAATGGTTCCAAAGTTTAAAGTGCTTGAATTGGTTCAATTGAGATTATTGTGCAATTGGGTATTTAATTGATACATTGATGTGTAAAGGGTTGTTTTTAGCTGCATTATATGATTTGATATGTTGCCTAAAATACCAGCTTTTTATCTATAATCTGTAGGACTTATTTGAGATTAGCATGCCAAATCACTATCCTGTGAAACTATTAAGAAATTTATACTTTTGTTATTAAGTACTCTTTATGATTTCTTCGGTGTGCATATATGAAATTTAGGCCTCGTTTGGGAACAGGCTAATTTAGTAACTTTTTGGCTAATTGACTAAAAAAGTAAGTAAAAAAAACTTGTATGTTTGGGAAGACTTTTTGACTAATTATGAAAAACTGTGCAAAAAGTAGAGAGAAGCTGTAATTGTTGACTTTTTGGTATGACTAATTGGCTAATTGGCTAATTTAGTAACTTTTTGGCTAATTGGCTAAAAAGGTAGCATCCCAAACGAGGCCTTAATGTACTTATTTGAGATTTCGTGAATTCTCGTGCTCATTCTTCCCGTGCCTAGATTTAAAAAGTTTCTACTCCCTTGTGGCCATATCACAGTTACATTTTGCATCAATTTTCTCAAATGTTTTTATGTTTGTTTGTTTGTTTGTTTGTTTGTTTTTTTTTTTTTTTTTTTTTTTTTTTTTTTTTTTTTTTTTTTTTTTTTTTTTTTTTTTTTTCCGTTTTAAACTTTATTATCGATGCAAATCTTTTATGTGATTTACAATGTACTTTTCAAACTGAATTTGAGTCACCTAGTTGTGGTTTCTTCGTATACTCATGTGTGCTTTGAACTGTGATTCTATGACCAGTTTTGTTTGTAAATCATTCTCTACTTTTATCCTATCTTGTCTCACTTTCACATGTGTGGTTTGGCTGGAATAAAGCTGTGCTCATGCTTCTGTAGTGTTTACGTTTGTGTTTTCCTTATTTTAGTTTTTTACTCTTCTTTCTTCACAGTTCTCGTATTCATCACAGAAGGTGTTCTTCAATGATTCAATTTATCAAGGAGTGCAGTTTAGTTTGAGTTTTGGCCTTATGCTTGTTTCTAATTTCTTTTCTCATCTATATTCTTGCATGGCTTATGACATCGCAGGATTGTATATTGTGTATTTTGTGTTTCAAGTTTGTGCTTCTATCTGTTTTTCTTACCTACCAGTTTGGTCAGATGTTTGTGGAGCTTTCACGTGGAAATTCCAATGAATTAAGTTTAGTTTGTGGATATTCAATTGAGAAACCTGCCTTCGTGCCAGATAATTATCACTTCTCACCAATGGTGGGTATTTGGATCGGGTGCCTTGCAGGTCTGATTTTGATGTTTCCAACTCAGTTGATGGAGTTCATTTGCGTGGTGAATCTCTGATCATGCTAGCATCATAGCTTTTTTTATTTTTATTTTGATTTTTACTAATGCTGACATGTGAAAAGCTTGCAAGATTTTGAGTGAAAAGCTCTCCTTGGGAAGTTTGGAAGCATTGAGAGGAGTATAATAAGTTGTGGATGAGGGAAATAGTTGCAAGTATTCTGGGAATTGTTGGCACCTTACGGTTGCTAGCTTGGATATCTAATTTTCAGGTTGCTGATGTTAGCATTTGGCGTAATTTTTTTGGTTGGTTTTGGAAAAATGTTTTGAGATTTTAGAAGTATTTGGTTTAAATGCATGACATGATGGAAAGTCACCTGGACTTATTTAGGTTACCCAATAAAGGAATTATTGCATGCCATTGCAAGGCTTATTCTGATCAAGGTTTGAGCATGTTCTTGTACATTCAGAGAATTAAGGAACTTCAAGGGAGTGGTTAGAAGGCTTCTGTTTCTAATCAGGTGATTGGGTGCTGTGGTTGATGGCATATGACAAGTAGGAGTGGTTGTTGGGAAAATCAGATTTACCAAAGTTGTCTTGCAGGCACTGACCAATGATATTTTCTTTTCCTTTGTTCTTAGGTGTCGCAAAGGATTTGTTTGGTTTGAAGGAAAAAATGTTGAAAATTTTATTTAATAGAAAGTGAAGTACATGAAAGGAAGATGATAAGAAGAAAAATTTTCAATAAGCATTTGTTTGGGTAGAGTAAAGTTTTGGAAGGACATGATGTTTGAGGGAAGTTTTCCTATATCTCTAGCAGAGTGTGGGACTCTATCTACTATGGGAGTGGTGTGGGGCACGTTTGTTCCGAAGGGCATTTTGCAGGGTCGGGAAATGGTGTTAGTGGAGTGACTGGAGTCGTTCTGTCTATGCTCCAAGGGGTCTCACAATGAATTTTTTTCAATAGCGTCTTTCTACTCGTTCATGATATGCCTTGTTTGTAGGGTTGTGCCCATGGTTTTTAGTGCTCTTTAATGAAATTACTTCTTATCGAATCTTGCCTAAATTAACCTTATCCATGCATCACAAGAGAGAATGTAAATACATGTAGAGTCAATGAAGTGGGAATTTATATAGTATAGACCAACTTCCACAGGAAACAAAATTATTCTTTTGTCGTTTTTTAGGAACCAATTAGTCATGTTTTCTAGAAAATAAAGTGGTTACATGGTTCTATTTTCCCAAAATCTTTTCCTTTCTTGCTAATTGAACTCCTAAAAAACTACAGATATTTTTCCTTTCTTCCACATTCTAGTAGTAGTAAGTCATGTTTTTCCAAGGGGTACTGTTGACACTCGTTTGACTCTAGTTTCCAAGCCACAATCTTCCATGCGCAGATCCTAGGCTCTGCTCTCAGCCTAGGTACTTCTTCTGAGACCAAGTGTTAGGCAAATAGATGATTGCAAATTGGGATTGATCTTACTTGTTAACTATCTTGGAGAAGTCATGGAGATAACCAATTGGAGATCCACTTATGGCAATCTAACTGAGCCAAGGTAAGGCAATTCAGCGAGAGTGATCTGAAGAAGGTGATTCGGAAAGGGAGGTCCTGAGAGGGCACGCAAGAAATCAAGAGGCATGTACCTACACTCAAAAATTCATTTTTTTGTTTGGTACCCATAAAAATCCATTAGTTGTTAAAAATTCCATTCCTCTTTCTCAACCAAAATCCTAAATCGAAATATAGCATTAGTTGTTTACTTACATTTTTGTTCTATATTTTCATGGATCCTATGTTTATATTTGTAACTTGAACCCCATAAGTTGGAATCGGGATTACAGAGGACAATTTTTTTCTCAGGAATTTCCTTTTTGTTAGTTCTCACAAGTCTTTACTTTGGGAACTACATTAAAGAACTGCAAAGTGTGCTGGGAAAGTAAGACAGATGGTAATGGGATTACCAATTTGTGAGCTAGATTTATTTTAAACCAAACTCATTATCATTTTTTGTGTTTATGTAGTTTATGCTCTTTTTATTATTATTTTCTCATGTAGGAGACCCACCACAATGGAGGAAATTCTTACAATTGAGATCAAGCCAGGTTGGAAGAAGGGAACAAAAATAACTTTTCCGGAGAAGGGAAATGAACAACGAGGTGTTATACCCTCAGACCTTGTCTTCATTATTGATGAGAAGCCTCACAGCCTCTTCAAGAGGGACGGCAATGATCTCGTTGTCACCCAGAAGATTTCCCTCGTGGAAGCTCTGACAGGTTACACTACACAGATCACCACCCTTGATGGGCGAAATCTGACTGTTCCTATCAATGCCATCATCAGTCCCACCTATGAAGAAGTTGTTAAAGGGGAGGGCATGCCAATCCCCAAGGAACCTTCCAGAAAGGGAAACTTGAGAATCAAGTTCATCATCAAGTTCCCTACGAGGCTTACATCAGAGCAGAAAACCGGCATAAAGAGATTGTTGACATCCTCATGAACGTTTGTGGTAGTGCTTTCTACCCGACACATGTAAGCTTGCATTTGCTGTAGTTTGCTTTGATTTGCTCTGGAAAGAAAAATCATATATTACTGAATAGGGGATTTCATCGAAACCGTTGCTTCGGGTTTTGTTTTTTTTAAAAATTTATTTATTGTTTTCTATGTTTATTTATCAAAAAAAAAAAAAAATTTGTTTCCTATTTGGCAGCTATCTTGTATACTTTCCAGTTTAGTTTGTGAGTTAAAATTTCCTTGTATTTCCAGCATAAAAAGAAAAAAAGAAATTTTGCTGAACCTCCTTGTCTGGACAATTGTTAGACCATTGGCATCTTAATTTGGTTTCTATTCTCAGTTGGTTGTTGGTTTTAGCCGTTTAGGTCCAAGTGCAGGTGATGTTTGCTGTCTAGAGTAGCTAGGGACACCAGTTTTATTGGGATTGAAGTTTTTATTTTTTTATTTTTTTGTTAGTGTTGGGATTATGTGCCTGTAAAAATATGCCCTGTACAACATATTTGAGTTTTCATATTTGATTTACACAGTTTCAGTAAACCATTGTTGACTTGCATTGATCTCCAGGAGTATGGTGAAATCAGTTTTTGGCTGTGAATGTATGCTTTGGACTCGGATAACTGTTAAGAGAGAGAGAGAGAGAGAGAGAGGCATATTGGTTATCCTGTAGATTTTGAGGAATGCTTGACATATTGGTTATCCTGTAGAATTTTGGAAACAATCTTGTCAAACAATATATGTGAAACAGATTTTGTATTTTGATCACACGTTTGTGAGGCAGATGATAAAGTGGCCAGAGTTGGTTGGATGTTCTGAGATTAGAGGGGCATGGCTGGCAAATAATAAATGTTAGAATTTCCCATCTTTACCTTCACCTACTCCACTACACACTCCACTTCACCTACCTCCACTTCACCACACACTCCACTTCACCTAACCCACTATCACCTCCACTACACCTACTACCACATTTTCTTCTATATATAGATTGTATAGGAATTGTAATTAATCAATCTTGTAATACAGAATCAATACTACAATCAATAATACATCAATTTTTACAATAAACACTAGGCAAGATCAAGTAGGACAGAGTATAACGCAGGGGTGGTGGCATTGTGGTTAAGGCTTGGGGTTTAAACCCAAGGTCACAGGTTCAATTCTCTCTCTTCTGAGCCAATCTTTTGGGCGAAGCATAGTTGGTTAGGAGGTTGGATCTCAAGTTGTCTAATCAACACTTGGTGTGGGTTCAATACTCTCCCGTTGTGCGAATCCTGACTTAAGCGGAGCTTGTCTTGGGAGGTCTTCTCCCCCGTTGTGTGAGTCCTGACTTAAGCGGAGCTTGTCTTGGGAAGTCAGGACAAGTTCTCAGGTTATGGTTTCCTCGTTCGGAATAGCTAACAAGACACCCTGATGATCTTTGCAAGAGGCGCTGCCTTGGCCTTGCGGGAGGGTAGGGAGGATTTTCCTATAACAAAAAAAAAAAAAAAAAAAAAAAGGTAGGACAGAGTCAGGCTCTATGTTCTCTTTAACCGTTGGTTGGATAGCCTAATCAAACGGTGACTTTTAGGATTAGACTATAATGAAACTAAAGTTAGAGGTCACTCTATAGTGTTATATAATATAATTATTTAACTATATAGCGGTAAGTTGTGCAAGATTCAAACTTACAATTCGACTTTGAAGATGATTTGTCTATACTTGAAATATTCGTCCCATTAATTATATATGTTGTAGTTTGAATGAATGATCTTAGGAAGAATTGAATTTGGGACCTTGGGGAAAACACCCTAAAGTCTTACCCCTCGACCACACCCCTTGGTTGATTGGATTGGCCTCTTATCATGTCGATTGTTTTGTTCATGGAAAATCGTAATTTGTTTTGGGAGCAAATACATACAATGTGCTTACTTGAATTTTATTAAGTAAAACAGTGGGATCCATCACTTTTTTATTTTATTTTATTTTTTTAAAAGAGACAGCATGACAAGCCTCTCAAGATGAGTAGTGCTCCAATACCACCCAAATAAAAAAAATGACAACGCTACGTAGCTCAAATTTTGTGGCTCAAAAGTGGCTCAAATGGCCAAAACGACGTCGTTTTGAGTACAGAACAACATAAAAATAGCCAAAATGACGTCGTTTTGGCCATTTGAGCCACTTTTAAGCCACAAAATTTGAGCTACGAGACATTTTCTTAAAAAAAATTTCTACCGCATTTTCTCTCCTCTTGGTTTGCATATAAAATAATTAAACTTAAGCTTGACTTGTTAAAAATTTATTTGAGATTAATTATTCACTTCTAAACAAATTTTAAAACTTCGTAGTTTTTTTTGTTTTTTTTTGTGAAATTGGGCTTGTACTTGGTTTGATGAACTTGATTTGGATATTGTTATTTTGAGTTTCGTTTATAACTGGTTCAATTAAAATTAATTTGAAAAGTTCTTGAGGGCGGGTTCAGTGGTTAGGAATTAGTTCAAAAATGCTTTCACTCAAATTTGATCCTCCATTGTCCCTTGGCATGACGCTCTTATACGTTGCCTCAAGCAATGTCTTAGTTCGAGGGTGGAGACTCGTGGAGTTTGTGCGATCTTTACGCAAAAAAATCCCGGGGTTTCGCACCTTTTTTATTTTAAAACTCAAGTTTTCAATTTCGATAAATTAAATCACATCATTTCACTCATTTTTCAATCTGACCCTTTTGTCCATTTCCGTCATATTATTAGACTAATGAAAATCTAGGCAGAATTTCAGATTCAAATCCACATGTTCAAACATTTATATTTCTCTCATCGTAATTTCGTTTTGCCTCATTTTACGTCGTTGGATTCACCTTATGGCCTAATTGTCATTCCAACCCTCATGTGCCTTGTTTCACCTCTTTTTGCGTGCTGTCAGGGATCCAAAAATTGGCTAAAAATGAGATGTTTCTCTCTTTGGACAAAATTTTCAGATTCAAACTCACATGTTTAAGAATTTGTATCTCCCTCGTCGTAACTCCGTTTTGCCTTATTTTCATGCCGTTGGATTCACCTCATGGCCTAGTTCTCATTCATTCCTCATACGCCTTATTTAACCTCTTTTTGCATACCTCAAAGCTCTGAAAATTGGTCCAAAATAAGAATTTTTGTTTTCCCCCTCCTCTTTTATCTTCTATCTCCATGTTTCTTCCTTCCTCATTCTTTTCCACAATTATTCTCTCTTTTCCTCTTCCTTCATAGCCCTCCACTAAGCTCATGGTGGCCACCGAACTTTTGACGGTGTCAATCCCGTCAAGTATGGAGGTATATGACTTACAAGAAGTGAAAGAAACATAAGAGTGGGGGAAAGGCTATGAAAAAAGAGGAAAATAGAGAATAATTGTGGAAAGAAAGGAGAAAGGAAGAAGCAAGAAGCATGGAGATAGAAAATAGAGGGGAAAAAATGAGAAAAAAATCTTATTTTCAGCCAACTTTTGAAGTTTCGACGGTACGCAAAAAGAAGTGAAACAAGGTATACGAGGGATAGAATGAAAAGTAGGTCATGAAGTGAATCAAACGACATAAATACGATAAGGGAGATACAAATTCTTAAACGTGTGAGTTCGAATTTGAAAATGTTGCCTAAAGAGAAAAAAATCTTATTTTTAGCAAACTTTTAGAGCTCCGACATTACACAAAAAGAGGTAGAATAAGACATATGAGGGGTATGATGAAAACTAAGCCGTGAGGTGAATCCAACGACGCAAAAATGAGGTGAAACGGAATTACGATACAAGTATTTAAATATGAAGTTCTGCTCAGATTTTTATTTGTTTAATATAACGGAAATGGATGGAGGGATCAGATTGAAACACGAGTGAAAGAATAGGGTTTAATTTGTCAAAATTGAAAATCTGAGGTTTAAAATGAAAAAATGCGAAATCCTAAGTTTTTTTTTTTTTTTTTGTGGGTGTAATTAATCAAAAAAACAAAAGAAGTTAATTTGAAAAAATAAATAATTGAAATTTGACGAATGCATCCACGTGGACAATCTGTTTGACTCTTGATTACATTATTGTCTCAATAAATTTTTTTTTTTTTTTTTTGGTTTTGTATTTAATAAATCGTAATTTGTAGACAATTTTTTTTAAAAAAATTAATTTAAAAAAATAAATAATTAAAATTTGACAGATGCATCCCACGTGCACAGTCTGTTTGGCTATTGATCACATTATTGTGTCAATACAAATTTTTTTTTTTTTTTGAATTGCGTATTTAATAAATCTTAATTTGAAGATGATAGTTTTTGTAAATTACTAAAAACATCTATGAAAATAGAATTATTCATATATATATACATATATATTTTGAAAGTTTGTTCTTTAAAAAAAAAAAAGAGGGATTTATTTCAAAACTTAGCGACTGTTTGATAAAATTAAAAATTAACTATTAAAAATCGAATATTGAATTTTTTAAGTTAAAAAGTTATTTGATAAAAAATTTGAGTGCTGCATTAAAAATAAATTATTTGATACGTATAAAATCAAATTTAAAATTTATTATTTTTTAATTATATATTTTATTTTTTATATTATGATGATAGTGTTGGTAGTGACATAATGGTGGTGGTGCTGGTGGTGGTAGTTGTGGTGGTAATAGTGGCAGTGGTAATGACATAGTGATTGTGGTGATAGTAATGATGGTAGTAATAGTAAATGATGGTGCTATTTATAACAATAATGACAATAATAATAAAGGTGATGGAAGTAATAATAGTGGTGGTGGTAATGGTGGCGATAGCATGGCGGTGGTGGTAATAGCGATAGTGATGGTGGTAGTAGTGGCGGTGGCATGACGTTGGTGGTGATAGTGGTGGCGGTGTCATGATGGTGATGGTGGTGGTAGTGGTAGTGATGGTGAATTTATAATAGTGTATATTGATATTATATTTAGTATTTATAAATTTAGTTAGAATTAAATAAATTTTATATGAGTTAATTTTTTTAAAAAAATTTCAGCCTACATTTTAAGGGACGATTAATTTTTTAAGTAATATTAATTATGATCATCAAACGAACTTATTTAATTATCACTTAGTCAATTCAATTTTAAGTAAATATCCCTCATAACCTGGCTTATAAATTTGAGGGTTCTCATGATTTATAAACTTATTTTTTTTACTTATGACAATATATATATATATATATATATATAAAATAAAAGAAAAAAATAATATCATCTAAATATTATAAATCATCTAAAATAAAATCAACAAACAACTTATAAATCATGTTTCCAAATATTACTTATTCTTTACTTATTCTTATGATAAGACCCACTTAGATTTTACAAAGGGACAAAACTAAACTGGAAAACCAATCATCAAACTTTGAAAAAAAAACACAAAAATTAAGGTAGCGTTTGGACGACTGGAAATGTCCTGGTGGAAGACGATTAGATAAACCAAATTTACTTTTTTTTAAAATTTAAAATTCAAAAACTTACTATACTCCCAAATAAATTTTTAAATGAATTTTGAAAAATAACTTGAAATCAATTTAAAAAAATTTAAATAAAAAAATATGTTAAAAATAACTCTAAAATTAAAATTTCAGAACTATACCAAACAAAGCCTAAATAATTTTTTTTACTAGGTACACACACCACATTGCTTTTGGATCTCCATGGTCCTCCTTCGGTCCTTCATCAAACAAGTGGTGTGCAAAGCAGTAAAACCAGGATCTCAAATACACAAAAACCACCGATTGCGTCATTCGCGTTTATTCTCTTCTCGCTCAGTTTTTGATTCTCTCTCTCTCTCTCTCTCTTTCTCTCTCTCACTTTACTTTCCAATTTGCTCCTCTCTCTAAATCAATGCTCGCGATCACAACCTACTCGAACTCATCCAATTCCAATTGTATCGATCTGTGTATATATATATATATGTTAACCAAGGCTTAGTTAATTGAATTCTACTTTTATTTGTTAATCTAAGTTTTTTTTTTACATGGAAATGGCTTCAATTTCTTCGAGTCCTCGTTCTGTAGAAGAGATCTTCAAAGATTATAGCGGTAGACGAGCCGGCATAGTTCGTGCTTTGACTTCCGGTACTCTCTCTCTCTCTCTCTCTAAAATCTCACTTTCTCCCTCTAAAAATCTCTCACCACGGTGTGTTTGTATTTCAGATGTTGATGAATTTTATGGACTCTGTGATCCAGGTAATATTCAATTTTATTTTATTTTATTTTTAAAATTATTTTTTTTATTTTTTGTAATTGCAGATCGGCTTTCTTGTTCGGTGAATTGAAGTTCTGGTTTTTGGTTCTTGAGCTTTGAATATTCGTTTTTGTCTTATATGTATGTATATGTGTAAGTATGCATATGCAGAATTGTATGTGTGTATATATATGACATATGAATTTTGATGGTTAGGTTAATTTGAGCTTAAGTGCCCTGTTTTTGGCTATTGAGAGAGAAGAGGAAAGTGTAAAGAGAAAAAATTTAATGTTTTACATGCCTTGGGCTCTTCATAGGACCTGTAATTCTCTTGCCCTAGCTTGTTTTCGAAATGGAATCATTAATTGACAGTTTTTCCAGCAATTTGGTACGAGGAAGAGTGGGAAATGTTAATATTTAAATGCTTAATTGAATTCTCCAATTCGGCCCCCATTTGGCTGCAACTTTGGAATTCAAACTAGTATAGTTCCAAAATCCTCTTAATTTATGGGTGAGTGTAGATTCCCCTTGTTCCATTGCAAACTAGGATAGAAAAAATTTTAAATTCATTTATTTTCCTTTCCCTAATTTTCATTTCTAGATGAAGTGGGTGGGTGGGAGCTTCTAGCAAATGTGAACTCAACTCAGCCAAACAGTTGTTTGATATATATGTCTGTTAATTGTTGTTATTTATCAAATTTCTTGAACCAAATCAACAGCTAAAGTTGTTTACTTTTCGTTTATTTTGTGGTGGTTTTTTGCTTTGTTTATTTTTGGTTTAGACAAGGAGAACTTGTGTCTATATGGACATCCAAATGAAACTTGGGAAGTCACTCTTCCAGCAGAGGAAGTTCCCCCAGAGCTTCCTGAGCCTGCGCTTGGGATCAATTTTGCCAGAGATGGTATGAACCGTAGAGATTGGCTTTCGCTGGTTGCAGTGCATAGCGACTGTTGGTTGCTCTCTGTGGCTTTCTATCTTGGAGCCCAGCTTAACCGTAATGAAAGGTACTCTATTTTTTTTCATTGTTTCTTTACATGTAGCAGATTGTGCATTTCGTTCATGCTTATTTGTTGCTCAAGAAAGTTATACTGGCTCTTTTGCCGTGACGCCATATTGTTGGTTTATCAGCAGTATTGCTTAAATTTGTTCTTTGATTTGCTCGGTTGACTTATAAGGATGACTAGTTTGTGCCATGGATTTCTGTGTTAACAAGTGCAATGGTATTCGGTTGCCTCTAAGTTTTCATTGTCCACCCTAATAATGTTGGACATGCTCAAGTAGTTAATTGATAGTTAAAATGAACCATGGTTCATTTCAGGGGGGAAAACATTGTTGGACAGAAGTGACAGATTGAGTGGAAGGTTCACCTTTGGTTCATTTTTTTCTGTCCTTTTAACAAGTGTAAAGCTATGTTGCATGGATTCGGGTGGGGTGTCGGGTGCGGTTATGTGTCCATGTGTTGGGTTTATCTTATTTTCATGTCCAAGGATCTTACGACACAACTAGATTTCATTTTTCTTAAATCTTGTTAGGGTGAAATGGTGTTTAAAAACTAACATTCAAGGTTTTAAAAAGCGGCCGCAATCGTTACGTAACGCCGTTATGTAACGGTTTTGGTGGTTACCGCCACCCGTTACGGCCGCTTTTGCAGTGTGATTGAGATTCACAGATATGTCGGCCGTAGCGGCTGCTGTAGCGGTCATAACGGTGTCGTAACAGCTGTAACGGCCTATTACGTATCGTTATGTAACAGTTCCAAACTATTTCTTTCGAAAAAACACAAAAAAAAAAAAAGTTGAAAATGGGGGAAGAGGGATAGAGAAGAGGGAAGATAAAGAAAGAAAATGGAGGAGCAAGAGATAGAGAGAGAGAAAAGGGAAGATGAAGAATATGTTATTGATTTGTTGAAACTGTAAGACCCATGCTATTCTATTCAGCTGTTATCACTAAACCATTTTGTTTGTGTGTCTATCTATATATTGTTTGAAAATAATAATAATAATAAGTGTGGTCATTATCTATTTGGTTTGGTTAAAATATGTATATATATATATATATATATATTTAGGCTCTTATAAATTATTAAAATAAAATGTAAAAAACTCAATTTATAGTGATTTAAAAATATGAAATATATTGGATCATACTTAAAAATTTACAAAAATTGATCAATATTTATTTTTAACCCAATAAATATGATCATGGAAAAAAAATATGTGTATCGGTAAGTTTTTTTTCAAATTGTGCGAAAAATAAAAAAATTCACGGTTCCGGTTATCGTAACCGTTACACTACGGCCTTTACACTCCGCAACCGCAATCGCATCACCGCCACCGTTACGGCGACTGCAACCGCTTTTTAGAACCTTTAACATTGGATATTATGAATAAATAGGAGACCTATGTGTAACTTGGGCATACCGTCTCTGTGGATAAAATAGGTCTTATATAAAGTTGTATAGTAAACTTGACTACTTAGGCTTACTTAAAGAGTGCATGTCTGACTAAACATGCCGGACACATATCTTAATACTTGTTCCAGTGTCAATTGTTCAATATGGTTTCTTCACAAATGTGGAATTTCATGTAACATGGGTGCAAAGATATATTTGTGATTCTATCAATTAATTTTTGAAATAAATCCTCTGTCGATATTTTCTTATATTTTGTGAAATTTTGTAATCACCTAAGAAATGCAATGGGTTCTCTTGATAGAGATGTAAGTGATGCAAGAACAATGCTCACAAGGCATTAGTTTTAATATCTATGTATGTTAGTATTTTTACCAATTAGGGTTACTTGTTTAGTTGTGGGTCATTTATTTATTTTTTATCCTAGATTGGAATTAGTGAAGTCACTATCAGAGCATTGAAAGTTTTTGTGAGGTTCTTTAATTTTTAATTTTGTAGAGTTTCATTTATGTCAATAGCCTTCTTGTGGTATTATATATATCATATATGTAATCTTTTTATATGATTTTTGTGCTGGTGTGGTAAACATTTCTTTACCCCGTGGATGACTAAAACTTAATAGAGTCTAAAAATTAAACCTCAAGGAAAGTTTACCTTTTATCCATACATGCAGTTCCAACTCACCATTTTATGACTAAAATATTATTGTGATTCACCTCTGGCTGGTAGAACTTCATTGACTAAATGTGGATCAGTGAAATTGTGGATGATAGTTTGTGTACTGCATGCGTTATTGTTCACGCCTCATGGTAGTTGGCATACCTCACTATGCACGTACATGTGAAGTGCTCCAAATGGGAGACACATGAAAGTACTTATAACTTCATATGAAAAAAGGAGACACAGGAAAGTAGCGAGAGTGAGATTGGATCAGAGGAAGTTAAACTATGAGATAATACGATAATTTAACCCTTTTTTGTTCCCCTTCCTTTAAAACCAGAACTGTGTAATTTTTATTTTGTTCAACTAACAGATCTTTGTCTAGTTGGTACACGGGTTCATTGATGGCTGCCAATCTAGTTGGAGACTTGGAGCCCGAATTAGTAAGTATGACACCCATGATCCCAAGAGGGAGGCCCACTGCATTTAGGCCATGCAGAGGCTTCCTGCTGTGCAGAATCTTCATGATGTATTGCCCCTTCTTTATGTAGGGGGGAGGGTATAGTTTATATAGCAGTGTTATTCCTAGTAAGGTTTTTTCTGAAGAACTGGCATTGTTTTTTGATGGACAGGAAACGCCTCTTTAGCATGATCAATGATCTACCCACTGTTTTCGAAGTTGTGACAGAAAGGAAGCCTGTGAAAGACAAGCCCAGTGCAGACAGTGGAAGCAAATTCCATGGCAGCATCAAGGTAAGACTTAAAAACGACCAAAACTGATTTACAATTTTTTCCTTCCCCTCCCCTTTCCTCACATGTCTTATTTGTTTAGAAAATTTAAATTGGAGAGCAACTGATACCCAAGAAATATTGCTAAATAAGACGTGCACATAATCACATGCTATTGTTATTTTATTGAAGTAAAGGATGGTATGAAGTGAATGAGACTTCGGAGAAAAAAAAACATGATATCTGAACACGGACTTGCTAACAAGAACTAAGAAACTTTTTTTTCCCCTCCGTTGAATCCATTGAACTTGGATTTGCTTTTTCTTTAGAAACTGATAAACCGTTATCTGTCATGTTGATATGGATCCCTTTTTGTGTAGAGATCAAGCGATGGACAGGTGAAAAGTAATCCGAAGCTTGCAGATGAGAGTTACGAGGAGGATGAAAATGAACATAGTGAAACCCTCTGTGGGAGCTGTGGTGGGAATTATAGTGCGGATGAGTTTTGGATTGGCTGCGACATCTGTGAGAGGTGGTACCACGGGAAGTGTGTGAAGATCACTCCGGCTAAAGCTGAGAGTATCAAACAATACAAATGCCCATCTTGCATGAAGCGAGGCAGGCTGTAGTTCCTTCTAAAACCAGCAAAAGGGCATTGAACAGCAGCTGACAAAGTAGTATAGAAAATATTATCCTTCTTATGCTTGTAATTGGATTTGTCATGGTGCTTGTTTATAGTGAATGGTCTCAGATAGTTGGAGATGGCCTTTGTCCCTCCAAATCTCCGTGTTCATGCTTATATTTATGTGTTGTCGTATTTTCTTAATTATTGCAGATAACATTTGATGCTTGTGGAGTTATCCCCATTCCCCGTCTCCCTCATCCTTATTATTTGTGGAGTGCAACTGTTTTTACTAACAGACTAGATCTGTATCATGCAACAGTCATATTCGAATACAGGTATCACGGCTATTAAGAGAGCACCTTGTATTGCACAACAGTCCAACTCAAATTGAGGTATCATGCCTGTTAAGAGACCACCTCATTTACCAGACTGGTAGGGCCGGGGAGGAAACGACTTGGTTGCCGTCCTCTCTTCCGGGGTCTCGAGTGCAAGGAAGGTTGGTTAGGCAATTGGGAACTTGACAGGTGGTTGCTTATCTTTTAAGATTTTCATGTGGGTCATTGTCTTAGGCTTCTTCGCCAGGTGAGTTAACCTAGGCAGAACAAGTTATTGAGTTTGAAAATTTTGGGAATCTGTTGACTTGGTTAAGTCCGAAAATTTTAGACGTTTCAGGGCATCTTTCACCTACCAAACTATCTTTTAGACCCCATCGCCTCTCCAATTAGTTTTTTATATGGTTGACAGCTGTTTTTTGGGGTTATACTGTTTCTATTAACTCGTAGAGTTGGGTCATTTAATTTGGCGATGCCCGGTGAGGGTGGTTGCTCGGATGCTTGATTCTGATATGGGTTCGAGTCGTTCGGAATAGAGTATGTTTAAAGAGAGTTATTTTTCCTATTTCTCTTCTATTGATCTGTTTGAAAGGGCTGTCAATCAGCTCGGCGGTCCCGATAGTAAGTTCAGAAACATGAACTCTGGAACTACCTTGCTTGCATTGCCTGGGTTTTTTTAGCCTGTGTTGATGTGTAATATTTTCTCTTCTTGTGGTCACTGATGGGTTGTTTACGAAATGCGAATGCAGGAGCGACGCCGAAAGGCATACTGAAGACAATGGGGATTCCAGTGTTAACCATATACCATGTCAAAAGCCACTTGCAGGTTTTCTCTCGCATTTTATGATGAAATTTTAATAATTTTTTTATTATTTACACTTAAATAATATTTATTAATTCTTTGTATTTTATTTTTTTAGGTAAAATTAAATTTTCTATTCTTGTAAATAAAATTTTGGAGTTCATCTGCAATCTTTACTATTGGAGCCTTAAGTCAAGAAAGTTCTTTTTTTGTTGAGTCTTTGTATGAGGAGATTTTTTGAAAAAATTTAGCTTATCTTGGCTTTTTAATTTTTTTTGGAATATTTAATTTTCTTTTGTACTTTTTAGATTTGTCTACTTAAGACGGATTCGAAAAATAAAAAAGTGACATAATTTTGAAAAAGTCACTAAAGACAAAAAAAAAAAATGTGACTTATTTGAAAGTTCTCAAACTTTCCCTAAACATATGGATGAGAAATAATTTTTTTTAGCCATTAAGCAAGAATTTTTATTTTTATTTTTAAAATTTTTATGGGTCCTTGGACAAAAAATTTATTACGCTTTGGACAATAAATGTTTTTCAATATTTGTGATTGGGAATTTTTCGTAATGATTTTTTTTTTTTTTCTGTAGATAAGATTTATTTTTTCTTCTCCACTCCTAAATAAAGAGTAATTTGTTTAAGCCTTGAACAAAGAGAGTTACAACAGTGACCTTCCAAAATTGAGGGTCTAAGGGGTTCCTAATTATAATCTTTTGTCTCTTTAGAGGTAACGTCAAATAAAATTGCTCTTTTGGTAAGCTTTTAAATGGATATCTGCTGAAAGTAAATAATATTCATGAAATCATTGTCTTAAAAAGTAAGTTAATGTAATCCTTTTAACCTAATATATATAGGAAAATGAGTGGGAGTACTAATTAGTGTGACCACTAATGATGTGGCTGTGGGTGGGACCCACTGCCACAATGTTATTGTGTCTTTTTTTTTTAAAAGTGGATACCGCATCATTAGTGGTTGCTTTAGAGCATCACTTTTAGTGGTCTCTATCATTGTCTATATATATATATATATTTATATATTTTATATGTAGCAGGATTTAAAAATTTGTTGAATTGCTCCCCAAACATCTAATATTTTTTTATTTGGGTCCACACACATTATTTGAAGCGTGCATGGGCCCTGTTCTGTGAGTTTAGATTCTCTAGAATGATTTAAAAAAAATAATTTTAGAGTAATTTTTTAGGTGGTTGAGATTTAATTCCATAAAAATTGAAAATAGAATAGCTGAAAGTTGAGGGTACAACAATTATACAAAATATCACTTCAGAGACGATTCAAACTCATATTCTATTGGTGGGAAGAAAGGAAAAACGAAAAGAAAGTCGTATTTCTTTTTTTTGTTGGTTGGGTAATTTATGAGAGAAATGAATTTGAAAAAAAAAAAAAAAAACTGTATAATGTAAGAGAAACGGAAACCCATTTCTTGTGAAAATTAGGGCAAAATTGATAATTACTAATTTTATTACTTTTTTTTTTCCTTCTAAATCAAAGCATGAGAATTTTTTTTTTTTTTTTCATTTTTTATCTCAAAATCTCTCTGTCACTTGTCTCAATGTAATGATTGGATCATCTCTCTAGATTTCTATGTCGATATTAATTCATGATTAACTAAGAATATATTGGTGAAATAATACAAAGGGTGCTTTGCCAACCAAATAACAAGTCAACTTTTAACTTTTTACTCATTTTGAGTTGCATTGTCTCTTATTTTTTTTATTTACAAAAAGATAAAATAGAATAAAAAAAAGTTAAAAAGTCAACTTTTTACTAACTTCTCAAAACATCACATAGAGACAAGATCTTACTCTTTTAATTCTGCAGAAATAAAAATAGAGTATGTTTAAAGAGAGTTATTTTTCCTATTTCTCTTCTATCCTCTATTCAAATTGAAAAAAAAAATTCCATACCCATTTACACTACTAAAGAGAGGGGTCTCTCAATGGGTGTAGAGATGAGTGTAATAGTAGTATTGTTGAATAAATTGGTGATTTGAGAGTAGAGATTCAAAATTTTTTTTTTCTTTCCAAATCACTCAGTATAAACAAGTACGTGCTATCGTAAATCCATCGTTTGGGTTAAAGCCTACACCATTACGTACATATTTTTTTTCCATAAAGTTTTTTGATTAGTGTTCTTTTGTTTTATATTTTTCCAGAAATACAGGATGTCAAAGTTCATTCCAGAATCCTCGACTAGTAAGTTGTGACCAAAACTATCTATCCATCATTTACGAATTTCTTCTTAAAAATTTTACTTTACTTTTCTATTTTATTTTTAATGGAAACCGAATAACAATTAATTTTTAGCAGTTAAATGAAGACAAGAATAAAATATTAACTCTTTGATAATGTTTAAATTAATCTTGTTGTTTTCTTTATAACATGCAGGAGGCAAATTTGAAAGGAGAAACATTTCTGAAATACTGCCTAACTTCAGCACAACATCGTGAGTTGTTTTGCTCATTTCTGTGTATATATCTCCATGCTTCTTGAAATCTATATGCTGCAATAACTTGAGATTTTAGTGTTAAAAATTTAGAAACAAAATCACATTTTAGACACAAAATTATTATTATTGTCTTTTTATAGACAAAATTTACTATTTAGTGATGAATACCAAAGTTTTTCATCTCAAAAAATAAACTTTTTTTTGTACGAAATTATTTTGTTTTTAAAGTGCATTTATTAAATACATTTTCAAAATTTTGTCCCAGAAAACTTTTTTTTTTTATAAAAACTTTTCACAATGAGTTTTTAGTGACGAATCTCATATCTCATAATGAAAAGAATTGATCTTCGAATATCTTTTGCAATAAAAAATTTACTTTTGGAGACAAATTTTTTGTCTCTAAATCCCTGATATTTTGTAGTGATTGGTAAGAATGTAAAATGAATCAAGTAGTAAATTGATCATGGAATCATGCTTAGTTTGAAAATTTAAAAACTTAAAAATGTGTTCAAGTTTAATTTATAAATTTTTCCAACTAATCTCAAATGAGTTTTAATTGCCTTGCTCATGAATTGATCTTAAGTGATTTTTTTTTTAATGTAAATTTGTAGTATTTATAAACTTACATAACCAAGTTCAAGCTAATAATTAATCATGGATGGTTGGCTTAGTGGGTGACGATTAGCGCCTGGAGTTTTGCTCCTTCCCAGGTCTCAGGTTCAAATCTCTTAGTCAGCAAACCCATACATTGGGGCTACGGACTGCAAGACATAAGTACTCTTTCAGAAGGCTTGCTCGGGTCCTAGGAACTTAGGCCCCGTTTGTTTTAAGAGGTAGAATGAGAGAGATGGATAGTGAGGAGATTAAGTAAAATTGTGTTTGTTTTGATGATAGTTGTTAGTGTAGGAATTGTTAAATTATTTTTATATAAAATTATAAAACAAATAAAAAAATATAAAAAATTAAACATTAATGTTTAAAAAAATTTCCCAATAGTAAAAAATAAAAAAATTTCAAATCCCCTCACTATTAAGTAAAATTGTGTTTGTTTTGATAATAGTTGTTAGTGTAGGAATTGTTAAATTATTTTTAGGGAAAATTGGTCTAAGGTCCCTCTCCCACTTTTCATAATGGAAGAGATCCACAAAATTATTTTTTGATGTCTAAGATCCCTAAACATATAACAGAGAAATTTCAGTCATTTATACTATCTTCATCATCTGACCCACTGCCATCCCCAACAACCCGACTCTCAGTCCTCCTCATCTTCCAATACTTCCCAAAGCTTTACCCAGTGGAGATTCCCGGCCTCGTTCTCCTTCTCTCATTTCCTCTCATCGCAATCGCATACATCTTCATCTCCGAAGCCCTCGTGATCCAGGCGATCATCTTCATCTCCTACACCGGACTGAAGATCCGCGACATCGAGCTACTTCGTCGGCTCTGGACATGTGTTTTGGTGCAGCGTTGATCCAGGTTCGCTTCCGACGGTGCTGGGTTATACTCTATGATATTTTTGATCGGCACTGGTTGCGTCAATAGTATTTCACTTAAGTTCACTTCTGAAGATTCTTCTAGGTGAAGTCGTCTTTGTTGAAGATTACAGTTTATATCTAACACAGTAATTATTTTGTTTGATGAACTTCCAATAAAGATGGATACCCGTATGGAGTCAAGTACTTGGTGTGGTTCTACTTTGTTTTAAGTTACACGTACAGTTCTGTGTATTTGTTCTCTTTTAGCATTTCCAATTATGTTTTGACAAAAAGCAATACATTGACTATTGAAATGTTGGTGTGCTGTTGTACTGGAGGATCTAAATCCTATATTCTTAAGTTCACAAAAATAGAAATTGAAGCCAAGTGTAGATTAATGAGAAAAGTGATCTTCTGGTTGAAACTAGAGAAATTCTTTGATTTTTTAACTGAATTTGCTCTGGGTTGAAACCAGAGAAATTCTCTGGTTTTTGAACTCAATCACCAAGTTCTGTTCATAAAAATACAACTTTACTGTAAATAGAGAGAATTTCTCTGGTTTGTCTTGTTTGAAGAGAATTTCTCTGGTTTTGAACCAGAGAAATTTGTAGGTTTGTGGGTTTGTTAGACATGGGTTTAATTGTAGTTAATAGAGCTAGAGAAATTTGCGAAGTCAAAGAAATTTCCTGGATAGCCATACAAATTTCCTTTCCACAATTTTCTTTGGATTTATTTGGTACTCAGAGAAATTTCAATTTTCTCTGGAGAGAATTTCTTTGGAATTGAAATTTCTCTGGATGTGTATTTGTTCTCTTGACCAGGCCAGAGAAATTCAAAATTTCTCTGGACCAATTTTCTCTGACTTGAATTTTCTCTGGACCAATTTTCTCTGGATTGATGTTAAGGGACCTTAGACATCATGAAAATATTTGATGTCCTTTATACTATAAAATCATAATATCAGGGACCTTAAAAAAAATACCCCTTATTTTTATATAAAATAATAAAACAAATAAAAAAATATAAAAAAATTAAACATTAATGTTTAAAAAAATTTCCCAATAGTAAAAAATAAAAAAATTTCAAATCCCCTCACTATTTTTCTAATACCACCTCCTCTGTCACAATTCCCCTTCCAACCTCCATCTTAATCCCCTCCTTCATCCTAATTCATTCCCCAACTCTACAAACAAACACAATACTAAATAATTCCACCTACATCCTAATCCCCTCCCATCTATTACACCCCAAAACAAACGGGGCCTTAGTCTGGTGCGTGTAAGCTGGCTCAGAATACCCTACATAACCAAAAAAAAAAAGAAAAAAAGATAAGGTTCAAGCCAATGAGTTTTAAAATGTATTTAACATGACTCGTTTATATACGAATCGTTTTTAAATGAATTGTTAATGTGTAGAAAACAAGTCGAGTTTGACTAATTTAATTTATTTAACAGTCATTAATACTGGCTCATTCTATACTGGGTAAACTACCAATAGTTCCTAATAATTGAACTTAATTCCCATCAAGTCCTATTAAAAATAAGTTTTGATAAAATTGTTGTTAAAAATAATTTTTTTGTGATAATTTTTTACATACGTTGCTAAAAATTGACAATTGGTGACTTTTTCTTCTCATAATTTTTATAAATTGTCGCTAAAACTTACAATTAGTGACATTTTTTATGACAAATTTTTCTCATAGGACCTATTAAACAATAAATTCACTTATTAAGACCTACCCGTAAGTATCCCTTCTATATTTGCCATGATTGTGTAATTTTTGTAGGGGTGCTCAGCTTAATGAAGCATTGCAAATGCAGAAGGAAGCAGAAAAGCGATTGAGTGATCAAAATGAGGTTGAGTAGTTTGATTTGTATTTGTGTGTGTGTGTTTTTTTTTTTGTTACAGTTTTATAGTGCCTAATAAACATGTCGAGTCGAACTCAAAAAATTAATAAATTTTAAATTACGTTTAAATTTAACTTATTTATATAATAACAAGTCGATTTTTAATTAATTTTTATTGAACACAACACGATGGAGATGGAGTAAGTTTTATGGGTAACTCATTAATTTCTAAGCAATAACATAAGGAAAAAAAAGAAAAAAGAACACCTAAAACAATTTCAATAACTAGTAAGATCATTTTACATTAATTTTTTTTTTCCTTCTCTAATTAAAGGTGCAAAGGAGCTTGAAACTTAAAATTGAAGCACAATCAAGATTTCTGGAGAGAATTGCAGTGGATTTTAAAAATCGAGTGGGCATCATGAAACCTAGCAAACCCTTTTCAACGATATCACTGCCTTCCCTCTGTGAAGAATCAGAGTCAAACGCCAAGGAATTCGAATCCGATTCAGAGATTGACAAAATTGAATTACACTCAGAAGATGAATTCCAAGCTCACAAGAGGCTGAAGAGGAACACCGACATTTTTCATCCACGTTACAATATTGCATCACTTGATTCCGGATCATACAACCAAAACATGCTTCTTCCCAAAGCATCGAAGGCTATGTATCCATCCTATGAAACCAACATTCCATGGAATGTCGGGTCATGCCAATCATCCCTGATGCCACCTTTATATAACTGGAATTAGCCCTATACATATTTTTTCGGTAAAATAAACTCCCAACATTAGCGGCGTTTGATGATTATGCCGGTGTTGAACATGTTGGTTTTGTCATAATAATCTGCCCACCTCGGTGACTAAGTACAAATTATCAGATTTTGTACCTAGTATCAAGATGGGTTTGGTTTAGTTGTTCACTCATAAAAAAAGAAGAAGAAGGGATTGCTTGTACCTTACAGATGATTAATAATCGTGTTTGTTATATATAATATTTGTTTGTCTAAATTTTGTGCACTTTAGAATGAATTATTCTAGATGTATTTTCTAATCATGATTATGTGTATGTGGATTCAATTTGACTATAAATTGCTTGAATTTACCTAAAAGCATTCTGTTTCCTCTCTTTAAATTGCTTGAGAACACAAAAATAAATAAATTTGGCAATGTAAGTAAATTACAAGGATGCATTTTGTCTGAAAATTGGTTTTAACAAACAACATGGCTTAAAAATTGGGCATTTATATATATTGAAGGACTTAGGGGTTGTTTGGGGTGTTCTAAATAAGTACAGTTTTTGTCTTTTTAGACTAAAAAATTGAGGTTGAAAATATGGATGTTTGGGTTAACTTTTTGACTTTTTATGGAAAAATGTGTAATAAAAAATTGTAAAAATTGATTTGTAGGAAAAAATTCGAATTGGGAGTTGTGCAGCCGTAATTGTTGACTTTTGGTGAATAGTATTAACTTTTTAACTTTTTGAGTAACTTTTTGATTTTTTGATTTTTTTACAAGTTCCCAAACTTGGCCTTAATGCATACTCATGAGAAATGGAAATGCAAGACAACTATAAAGATTTGATACTTTATGGTATACAATGTTGTTGGATAGTTTAAAAGAGGATAAAATTTTGCTGACTTCTCCAGAGTAAATTATACAATTAGTTCAATAATTTTGGTATAAATTTCATAATGCAAGGAATTAATAGGATCAAGACCATTCTTTTTGAGACAAAGGGCTTGACTCTGATCCAATGGATAGAAAGCGATGATGTTATCATTTTTTAGACTAAAATCTATATTTTATCTTTCATCATCTTTATATACAAATATCATTTGCATCCAAACCCTCATTTTACATGTTTAAACAATACACACCATTGAGATAATGAGGATAATTAGGGGGAGGTCAATGCAATTTATCTTTAATGAAAAATATAATTAAAATGGAATAATAATATAAATTATGGAGTTTATTAACAAACGCTGGAAATAATTATTTATTGAGAAGTTTTGTAAAAACGCTGGTAAAAAAGTGCCAGTAAAAGTTTTTTTTTTTTTTTTTTTGGTTGTAGGTGACATTACTTACGTGATGGTTCTAACCTACCCAATGTTTCAAAACCGAAAAAAACGTAAAAGGTCCAAGCCCAGAAAATTCGGGTTGGGTCGGGTCAAACCATGATTGTTTTAGACTCAACCTACAACTGTAGATATAACATATAATTAAAGATAAAACAAAGAAAAATCAATTTTAAGATATATAGGTCAATCATGAAGAACCATTATAACTACAACAATGATTCATCCCACTAAAAATATCATCACTAATAACACTAATGCATTAAAAAAGTATAAAAAAAAAAAATACAACTCCAAGACCAAAACATCACATCATTAATGGCGAGACTCACTGCCACCTAATTAGTAGGAGCACTAATTAGTGCTCCCAAGCATTTTTCTTATAACTACTCTTTTGTTAGAATGGGTTACACTAATCACACTTGAGAGTGATGGAAGTTGACTAGAAAGATGACAAATTTTGACATGCGATTCAGGGTGTTTTGAGAAGTTGATAAAAAGTTAATTTTTGGTTTTTTACCAAGCTTTTTAGCTTTTTGAAAAGTGATTTGAGAAGTTGGTAAAAAGCTGACTTTTTGCTTTTTAGTTTAATATTTATTTATGGTGTCAAATCAAATTAAAATGACTAAAATATCCTTACCCAACATAAGAAATTTTTTTTTTAATTTTTTTTTCATAGGCCCTAATTTGTAATTTTACACCTGCGTTTTTAGCACTTGTCAAACCAATTTTCTGGCCTTTTTGGCACTTGTGTTTTTTAGCATTTTATCTAAAAACGTAACTTTTTGCTATGTTCCCAAAATGGCGCTCACATACACACACTTATGCTAATCCCAATCCTTAACAAATCAGAATTAACATTTTTTGTCCCAGGTTAGTCAATGAGCCAGATGCACGCGCCCATAAAATATAGAAATTTTAAGGATATGGGAGAGAAGCATGATTACTAAATTTTTAAAATTTGTTGGGCTTCTCTGTATAGGAACGTAATTTATTTGGTTTGGTTAAGGTTAAGAGAAAATTTAGCACTGAGTTGAATTCTTCAATTTGATTGATGGAAAAACCAAAACGGATTATATGCTATGATTCTATTTTGTTAGCTTTGAGTTTAGGATAATGGAGAGATTCATACGAGTCTTTTAGAGTTTTACAATTATAAAATCATAAATGAAAATAAATAAAGAGAGATGGTGGAAATTAGTATATAAAAACCTACCTCCTTGACGAAAACATTATTGCAAAATGTTTGATGTTTGTCTGTTATTATCTTTCTAATACTAAAAAAATATTTAACTATAATATTTCAATTGATTCCAGGGATATTAGTATAAAATTTTCATAAACAAAACAAATAATGCCTTAAAAATTAAAATTTCAACCTGCAATGAATTTAGGCCTCGTTTGGGAACAGGCTAATTTAGTAACTTTTTGACTATTTGACTAAAAATGTAGGTAAAAAAAACTTGTATGTTTGGGATGACTTTTTGACTAATTACGAAAAGATGTGCAAAAAGTAAAGAGAAAATAGAATCTTTGATTTTTTGGTATAAGTTGTTGACTTTTTGACTAATTTAATAACATTTTAATTTTTTAACTAAAAAATTTAATTGTCAAACGAGACCTTAGTTTCACTCATCTTCTTGTCAACCTATGTCTCTAGTCTAGGTGCTCAAAAAGTTTATCACACAAATTATTCAGAATGACACGAGCTCTCCAATAATACCAAACAACCAAAAGTGAAATGTCAAAAGTTTTGAATTTTGACCAATAGGATTAGAGAGCACTAATTAAACGTGTGCTAGGAAAAATTATTTAGTAGATTAAAGCAAGATTATTTAGGAATTGGTTGGGATTATCTAAATAAGTGTATTTTTTAACTTTTTATGAAATATAACTTGAGTTTGAACTTATGTGTTAGAGAGGTGATGTGAGCTAAATAAGATGATGTGACTTAAATCACCAAGGATCCTCTAAAGTGAAACTTCCCTAAAGTTTCCTAGAGTACTACATTGTGTGGTTGAGATTTACTGGCAAGTCACATCAGAAAAATTGATGTGACTTGCCAGTAAATCTCAACCACACAATGTAGCACTCTAGGAAACTTTAGGAAAAAATCACTCTAGAGGATCCTTGCTCGACTTAAATAGGATTGCGACTTTTTGACTTTTTAAATTTTTTTAAACATGCCAAACTAGCCTTTAGTCTTCGTTTGAGAAGAGCTAAAATAGCTTGGTTTTTGACTTTTTAGTTATTTTAACTTGACTTTTTTAGCTTAGTTTGGTTTTTGTTTTTGATTTTTTTGACTTTTGTAGGAGAAAATGTGTAATGATTGTGGTTTGCATATAATATTTTGTCTTATTGACTTATGTAGCCAATTTTATCTTTCGTGTCTTTTTAGCCAAAAAGCTATAACCAAAAATAATTTTAGTATTATGACTTGTTAAAACAGTGAAATTCAATACTTTTTATTGAGTTTTTAAGAAATGATTTAACAAGTGTCAAGTTATAAATAATGCAAAACATTAATTACTTCAAGATCACCAAATAACTCTCCGAAAACAATTGGAAAAATTGCACTACAATGTAAGTTTTCAACAAAAAAAAAAAAAATTACAAATTTATGATAAATTTTATCAATTTTAAACCATCACTGATTATTGATTTTTTCAAAATTATTTCCTTTGAGACTATAAATCTTTTTTCTATTAATAATTGAAAAATCTAGAAATCTTCTAGATATTGATATAATAACCCCAACCCCTAATGAACGTTAAGTCATGATTAAGTATGCCTAATAGTGATTTAGAAGAAATCTGGAATTTAATTTGCATATGTATTGCATCATTTTTGTGTTTTTATCTGTTCAGTGTTAAATTATCTATTTGCGTTTCATGTTTTAAATTGAGAATTGAAGGCCTTATCGGCGACCGAACCGAAAATTGATTAATGTTTTATGATCGCCGGAATTTATATGATTTTATGGCATGTTTAATTGAGATGTGTTTGGGTATGATTAAATTAGATCAAATGAGCTAAAATTACATAGTTGGTCTTAATTACAATTTTGCCAAGATAGTGGGCCACTTTGTCTAAACATGTTGAAGCCTTAGCACACCCCATTCAAACACATTTCCTCAGCTCATTTTTGTTGTCCTAACCGACTAGAGGGAGAGGAATAGGAGAAATCTTGTGGTCTTCAGAGAATTGCTTGGAGTTTAGGAGGATTGAAGGAGTCTTGCATATTTGAACTTGTATATCTTGCATTCAAGGCTTAAGGTAAGGGAATTCATCTTTTTAGTTATGAATTTAAGTCACTTCATACTTGGTCCATGATAGATTGGTGACTGGAGCTAGAAATTGGTTTATAATGTTGATTTGGGTAGAGATTCATGCATGTATGTTCATAACATAGCATATGGAAGTGTTTTTATGAGAATTCTTTGCATACAAGGCCATATTGAAGTTATAGTCCATGAGTTCATCATGAATTGGAGTTTAATTTTGCATTTGGACATATTGTGGAGCATTGGATTTCAAATAAACACTTACATATTTCATACACATCGTGTTCTTTAAAGTATTGTCGAAATTAAATTTAATTGAACTACCTCTGAGTTTCATTTCTCAAATTGATCTTCAAAGCATGTTATTCTATGAGTTTGAAAGGGTTTTCCAGAAAATTAGCCCAAAAGGATCGAAATTGATGCATTAGAACTTGGTTTTGAGCTTGAAGGTCCAATCTGGAATTTCCAGAATTTGGACTCACGCTTGAGTGGGGAAAGTGGCGCTTGAGCGTGGAATTCGACCATCCAGTACTTTACACTGTTTTACAGTCCGCTCGAGTGGGATAAGTCACGCTCAAGCGGGGACCTGAGTCACACGCTCGAGCGTGGGTCGAGCGCCCGTCGAGCGTGATTTTCACCTATCCAG